ATGTAGCCAATGAAATCGCTCCATTTTCGCGCCTTGCGTTGACTATAAACAGCGCCAGTGTGTGCCTCTTTGTGCTGGCTTACTGATTTTTTGACAGCTCATTATCTATCATGTCTGGACGCGGCAAGCAGGGCGGCAAGGCTCGCGCCAAGGCCAAGACCCGATCCTCCCGGGCCGGCCTGCAGTTCCCCGTGGGCCGTGTGCACCGCCTCCTCCGCAAGGGCAACTACTCGGAGCGGGTGGGCGCCGGCGCCCCGGTGTACCTGGCGGCCGTGCTGGAGTACCTGACTGCCGAGATCCTGGAGTTGGCCGGCAACGCGGCCCGCGACAACAAGAAGACGCGCATCATCCCGCGCCACCTTCAGCTGGCCATCCGTAACGACGAGGAGCTCAACAAGCTGCTGGGCCGCGTGACGATCGCGCAGGGCGGCGTCCTGCCCAACATCCAGGCGGTGCTGCTGCCCAAGAAGACCGAGAGCCACCATAAGGCCAAGGGAAAATAGGCCTTTCACACTGGTCTTCACTATAAAGACAAAGGCTCTTTTCAGAGCCACTCACCCTTTCTCCAAGAGAACTGAACACTGCATAACTGTTATGTGCATTGAGATTTGTCCAATGTATTGCTCCATCCTTTACTCAGATCACTGAAAGTATCTGTTGCCAATACATTGAGCAAAAATGTTAACTAATGTCATCGTAAGACGTTCAATGTTAAGTGTTCATTTCAACTCAAAACACTCAGTTCCTCCTTTATTGGGAAACAACTAATCACTATAAACATTCCTCAGATGATTTATGGTCATAACTGACATGTCACCTGCCATTTGCCAACATCAAAACCATCTAAGACTCAAAATATTTAATGGAATCACAAACACATCCACGCACTATCCTACCTCCTTCACTCTGCAAATTGAAATTTACAAATTGTATCCAAAGTGCTAATCATTTAAAGTCGTTTTTTAAAAGTCACTACCTAATACATCGCCTTTTCATATAATCTGAAACAGAAAGGAGAGTCTAAATACGGTTTTTTTTTTAAAAAAAAAAAATTACATTGATTTGCACTAATATCCGGTCAGATTGTCTTTTCATTAGTCTGCTCAAACAGACTGCAGAAAACAAAAGGACTCGCCAACCAATGAAATTTTTCCTGCAGCCATTTTGACCAATCAGAATCCGTCCGCCTGTATAAATACTGGTCCGCGGGCGTCTCGTTCGCACACTTTTCTTTCCAAGCTCGCGTTTTCTAGTTATGGCTCGTACCAAGCAGACCGCTCGCAAGTCCACCGGCGGCAAGGCCCCGCGCAAGCAGCTTGCCACCAAGGCTGCTCGCAAGAGCGCCCCGGCCACCGGCGGCGTGAAGAAGCCCCACCGCTACCGGCCCGGCACCGTGGCCCTGCGCGAGATCCGTCGCTACCAGAAGTCCACCGAGCTGCTGATCCGCAAGTTGCCGTTCCAGCGCCTGGTGCGCGAGATCGCACAGGACTTCAAGACCGACCTGCGCTTCCAGAGCTCGGCAGTCATGGCTCTGCAGGAGGCTTGTGAAGCCTACCTCGTGGGTCTGTTTGAGGACACCAATCTGTGCGCCATTCACGCCAAGCGAGTCACCATCATGCCCAAGGACATCCAGCTGGCCCGTCGCATTCGCGGGGAGAGGGCTTAAGTTGGTGTTCAGTGATATTATTCAAAGGCTCTTTTCAGAGCCACCCATATCTACACGGAAGAGCTGTTTACTTTTACCGATAGCTCACATCCTAACCAAGCAACAAGTGCCTGGTGTGCAAAATTAGTTCTTAACCTTTTTTTGTCAGGCTTCCCAAATACCAACACGTATTTCATCATGTCTTAACAAACTTTTACTAGTATTTGTTTTGGGTGTAGTGCTTGAATATATTTGGCCAATTTGTTGCTTTGAAACTAATCTGACTTAGGTATTGAAGCTATCGAGTCCAAGGCCATCTTCATTTTAGGTATACGGAAAACTTAAGGTCGTTTGGTAACACTTTCCCCTCCCTGTCCGTGTTATTCATGCTAGGGATTAGCAAGTTTTGGTAGGCTGAAAAGTGTGTTTACTCTGCATGTCTGCACCGCTTTTGTATCTAATGCTCTGGGATCAGAACTGGACATTGGGTCCCCAGCAACTAGTTCTAGAGGTTTGTGGTTAAACTCTCACAACTTCTACTTTAGGTTTCAGTTTTCTGAGAAAGGTGCTTTGATATTGGTATGAATCCATAAAGCAAAATAAAGTCCCTCTCCATGAAAGTTTTCTGGAAAGGAAGATGAGTATTTTGGAAGGAAGGCCTGTGGGGCCTACTGCAGATGGAGAGTTTGTCTTTGGATCCAGGCTGAGCCACCTGTTCAACTGTACAGTAAGCAAAACGTTCTTTTCTTGCACACAGCAACACCAAGCCCTCTATTAGAAACTCTAGAAGGCTCACACATAGTTTTGTTTACTTCAAGCTTGCATTGATAAATACTCAGTATATAAATGAATACTAGGTGATAGATGCCACATTCTCTTTTTTCTTCAAGATGGGGTTTCTCTGTGTAACAGCTCTGGTTGTCCCGGAACTCACTTTGCAGACCAGGCTGACCTCCAACTCAGAGATCCACTTGCCTGCAGGTATGGGCCCAGCAGATGCCCCATTCTTAGGTAGACACTAATGTTATTTATTAAGACAAGGATCAGTAAAGAGTTGAGCTGCTGAGTGATGGGTCTAAGATAGGATATGTATTTAGTTTTTCTTTTTGTTTTCCTACAAGAAATATTGAAGTTAGATGAAGAGTGTTATAGAGAGGGTAAATGTCACACAGACATAATGATCTAGAATTAAATAGTATATGAAAAATATTTAAAATTAAAGGAGAGGGCTATCTCTTGTAGCTTTTGCCTTATTATCAATACCAAACATCCTAATTTGCCTTGTTCATATCAGCCAAGAAGCTGTACTTACTCATATTACCCTTTGTTGATAATTTCCTTTAACCTCCCTAGCAAATATTACCTTCCATACATTTTAGTCTTTTAAACCCTTCTTCCCCACCCTCCTTACGTTACTTATTCACTTTTGTGTTTCTCCTCACTAAATTTTCTGTAGCTCAGACACTACTTACTGCACCTAAGGGTGAATTGAATTGTTTCTGAAAGAATAATTAGAATCTAAGGAGGTAAAATAACCTTCATTGTGCTTGAACTTTCTGAGACAGCATAATTGTCACAAGGTATAAATTTCCTTTCCAACAACCAGATTACTTATATGCTAATATGGGCAATATCAAGGGTTTTTGACCCCACTGTTCTCCAATTGGCATTTTGCTTTAGGAAGAAATTAAATTTTTCCTGAACACAGGTTGTCTGCTTATTAGTACTTTGGGGTACCAATATCATCGTTATTACTGCAGTCTCATTTAGGAACCATCTCTGGCCTTCTTTGTGTGTGTGTGTGTGTGTGTGTGTGTGTGTGTGTGTGTGTGTGACTGTTAACTATATAAAGTAAACACAACTCATTTGCTTGTAGCAATTCTTTTTTCTTTTGTCGTTTCATTTTTTTGAGATGAGGTCTTACTGTCTAGCTTTGGTCTGGAATTCACAAGAGATCTGCCTGTTTCTGCTTCCTGAACACTGGCATTAGACGTGTGGGGCACCCATGGGCAGCAATGTTACTCATAGTTTGTGAGAGAGCCAGTAACATAAGACAACAAGGTACGATGATTAACTAGAAATATCCAAAACAGGAAAATGAAGGTAGAAACATTATTTTATAAATTTGTATTACATTATGGACCCACCTCAAACAGCAATCCTACTTCCTCAGCTTTCGGCTTTTTCAAACTCAGCAATCCCACCGCCTCAAATAACAATGATGTTGACAGGTATGAGGCACCCTATACCTGGCTTGTGAAATTTCAATTTTGGATTACAGAATCACAATCATATATACAAACACTTCATCACTCCTGAAAATTTATGTTGTGTTTCTCAATGGAAATGTTGATAGCCAACTTCTCCCTACCTGTAACTCCAGTTCCACTGAGTAAACAGAGACAGAGCCAGGGGTTAATTAAAAAACAGAGCTAAGCTAATACTGCTTACTTTCTTTACATATATTCTTAGCTACAATTATTTTATGGGTGGGGCATGCATATGTGAAAGGCTGAGGACAAATTGTGGGAATTTTTCCTTCCAGGTGGGCTCATGAGATTGAACTCCAATGTGTTAACTACCACTGTTTAAGGATCCTGGCTCTGTACTTGCCGAATTTTATTCGAACAAAAATAAAAGGTTGCAGGAATCTGTTACTTAGATGTGATTCTCTAGGAACAAAAAGCGGGAGAGTACAAAATAGCACTGAGGCCTCCTACCACTCTAGACTGGGAGCCCAACAGAGCTGATTTTAGTAAGGTACTTGTCATATTAAGCCTATAATTTTTTAACTTTACCACCAAAACTAAGCCAAGTTTCCTGTTGGCTTCCAGACAACTTCAATAACTCAATGGAGCAAAAATGGAAGTAAAGCTCACTTTGAAACTATTCTGATAAGCCAGCTCGGCCGCCAGGTACACCGGGACGCCGGAGCCCACCCGCTCCGAGAAGTTACCCTTGCTGAGGAGACGGTGCACACGGCCCACGGGGAACTGCGGAACGGGTCTTGGCCCTGGCGCGCGCCTTACCGCCTTGTTTGCCGCATCCTGACGTTTCAAATTAAAAGGTGTACAATTTAACTGCCGAAGCGGAAGAGCACTTCAATTTTTATTTTTGGTCAGTGGCGCTAAAAAAGAAGACGTGGCATTGGCTAAAACTCTAGTTTCATGTTAACCAATAGAAGTACAGGTTTGAAAAATGTACATTCTGATTGGGTAAAACTAACTTCTAACTAACCAATGAGTACATGTCAAACTTTTCTCCCTATTTGCATACGGAAATCTATAAAAGGACGGTGTTCCTGTGGCTTGTTACCCTGGCTGCTTGTTCTTTAAGTAATTTAGAATCTTTTAACATGCCTGAGCCCACAAAGTCTGCGCCAGCCCCGAAGAAGGGCTCCAAGAAGGCCGTGACCAAGGCGCAGAAGAAGGACGGCAAGAAGCGCAAGCGCAGCCGCAAGGAGAGCTACTCGGTGTACGTGTACAAGGTGCTGAAGCAGGTGCACCCCGACACGGGCATCTCCTCCAAGGCCATGGGCATCATGAACTCGTTCGTCAACGACATCTTCGAGCGCATCGCGGGCGAGGCTTCCCGCCTGGCGCATTACAACAAGCGCTCGACCATCACGTCCCGGGAGATCCAGACGGCCGTGCGCCTGCTGCTGCCCGGGGAGCTGGCCAAGCACGCCGTGTCCGAGGGCACCAAGGCCGTCACCAAGTACACCAGCTCCAAGTGAGCCGCCGACCTGTTGACCCAAAGGCTCTTTTTAGAGCCACCCAAACAGTTCTTTTGGAAGGGCTTCTACACCAAGCTTCCATATTTACAATGGTCTGTTTTCAGCTTTTTCAAATTTTTGAAGCCAGAACATTCCACAACCAATGCAGACAGTTAAGTGAGCCTGTCAGTCCCCAGTAGGCATTTTAAGTACCCGCGTCAACTTTCCCAGCCCTAAGAATTATGTCCCCTACCTATGTCTTTGAGACTGGATCCCATCTTTATTTCAAACTGGGAAATCACAATCCGTTGCGTTAGAAGTTTTATAGGAATGTACTTGTAAGTTTGCTTTGGTTCAAGTGCACCATAACGACTACGTCTCCCTTGCAGATTTCTTTTAGGTTTTTGTGCGCCAGGTCTCTTCCTGCTTTTGATTTCACTAACCGCTTGCCTCAAATTTTCCGTCTTCCTCATATTGGGTAGCTGGGATTATAGGCCTGTAGAGCCAACTAGGTTTGGCTTTACACAGCCCTGTTTTTCCTTCCCCTCCCCCTCCCCCATAGGCCTGCCAGGTGACTTTAGGTTGCTTGTTTTAAAATTGTCTTCTGTTTTACCACTGCTTGCTGTGATCTGATTTTTAACTATGCATATAAAAGTTTATTGGTGTGATTTTGATGTTCCAAAATGGAATTAAAGGAGAAAACCTCATTGGGTCTTAATGTCATTTCCATTTTTATATTAGTTTTGGGATTCTGCTTACAAGGGTGTTTTTGTTTTGTTTCTGAATAATAAAATACTAGGTAAGGTATAGGTCCATCAAAGTATAATAGGAATTTCACGAAATATGAAAATGATTTCTAAGTCCTCTCAGTTGGCTAGTAAGTGCAATAGAATGGTCACATAAGGGTAGATAATTGCATATTGTCATAGTTTGTTTTGTGTTGTAAACACCATGACCAAAAGCAACCTGAGGAGGAAAGGGTTTGGTTTACAAGTCCTTTCCTATTTAGTCCATCACTGAAGAAAGTCAGGGCAGGAATTCAAGTAGTATGTAGCAGAGGCAGACTCATCCAGATGTTTTTCTTCTACCTCCCAGGACCACCCTACCCAGGGATGGTACTACTGCCTGTAAGCTTGACTCAACCACATCAGTCATTAATTGAGAAAATGTTCCAGAGAATTATCTACAGGTCAATCTGACAAAGGTAGTTTTTTCAACTGAGGGTCCCTCTTCCTTTCTATGATGCTATCTTGTGTCAAGTAGACAAAAACGAACCAGCACAAACATCAATATTAGTGCCCAGATGCTCAAAATGCATTTTAGCTGTTGTATAATAAGACCTTAATATGCCTCTCTAACCAGTTTGTTTATTATCTTTAATTTCTGTAGTATCCCGTGGAACAAATTTTATTGTCTTCCTTCTTTTAAAGTTGAGGAAATTAAATGAGAAAGAACTACACTGAAGTCATAAATTACATCCTGTCTTGTGTGAATGGAAAAAAACTTGAGTTATGAACTATCCTCCAAAATAATTATACAATCCCTGAAAAGAAAATTTGAATACATTACAAGGTGAAATACCTCAAACTGTCAAATTTAAATAAAATTTCTATCATTGAGTTGTTTAGTCTTTTTTTTTTTTTTTTTTTTTTTTTTTTTTTTTTGGGGGTTTGCTTTGTAGTCAGATTTGCTTGAAACTCACAAGCATTCTCCTTCCTCAGCCTTCTGCATGCTGTGGTTGTAGATGTGTCCACTGGGTCCAGATACCATGCATTTAGAGGTAAAATTTCAGCCTGAATTCTGTGAGAGGGTAAACGTCCTCTGACATTTATTACAGTCCAGAGGATTTCTGACAATAATTCCAGTTTTGAATGAGTCAATTTATTAAGTATATAGCAAGTCAAAAGCAAATAAATATAATAAATAGAAAAGCAGCAGGTAGATAGTAAAACCTCATCAAATGGGATCTCGAAGCATCCAGCAGCAATCAATTGAGATGCATTGCTGAGGCAGGCAGATGAACTTCAGGAAGTCACTGACAGAATGCAAGACTTTATAACAACAGTGGAGAGAATACTATTACATACTTTCTCACAGCATAAAGCAGGAACCAGCTGAGGAAGCTGCTGTCAGGTGTAATTTCCTATTGGGCTTTTCCCCTCCATCAGTGAGCTTCCCATAACTGAAGTACTAGGGTACTAGGGTGTTTGTTTGTGTGTGTGTGTGTGTGTGTGTGTGTGTGTGTGTGTGTGTGTGTGTGTGAAAGAGAGAGACAGAGAGAGACAGAGACAGAGAGGGTGGTGGTTGGGGGTGGGGAGAGTGTGTCACCTGGCTGTTATGGAACTTGCTCTCTAGACCAGTCTGGCCTCAAACTCACAAATCAAGCTTCCTCAACTTACCTCTACTTCCTGAGTTCTAGGATTAAAGGCATGCAACACCACTGCCCAGATAGTATTTTGTTTGTTTGTTTTGATTTTGCCCCTGAGGGCACTTTTTCATCATAGGAGAAACAAAAGTAACATAAAGTACTTTCTAACATCTGTTAGAAAGGTTCACCTTCTAAGGACACAATGCTTTTGTGTTTGGGCTGCTTTCTATTCCTTCCCAGGAACAGCCTTAGGGGAACCAGCTAATTCTTATGCAAGGGGCCTTATAAGAGTCTTTTATTCTTTTGTATGGATGGCAGGAATCCCCCAGAACTCACCCTTGTAGACCAGGCTGGCCTTGAATTCAAAGATCTCCTTGCTTCTGTCTTCAAAGTGCTAGGATTAAAGGTGTGTGTTGCCAACCACTCAAAGACTCCAGAGACTTTTGAGAAAGGCACACTTGTGTTCAAACTGGTAGAGTGGTACAACAGTACAACAGTACAAACGTCCACTGTAGCTCATCCTATTGCCCCACCCTACCTTAGGGCTATAAGTGCTAGGAGTTCAGCAGTTTACAGAAGAAACTAGGTAGAATATTGTGCTCATTAAATACATTAGTGATTAATTCTGAGTCACCAATAATGCACTGGTGTCACATTAAGGAAAGAAATAAAAACATTTCCCCCTGGAGTCACTTAACCAAGAGCAAGTCCAAATTTTAATTGTCTATTTCATGTTCCCTGTGTCATTTGTCTGTTCTGTCTTAGTGTCTGTGTGAATGAGTATGAGTCTGAAACTGCCTAACTGAAGGCTGTCTTGCTAATCTTTCTCTGTGTGTGTTTGTTGTATGAGCTATATGTGTGAATGGTGTCTGTGGCTAATAAAGGGCTTCACTCTGTATTTATTGAACAGCATGGAAAGCATCACATTGCCTTTAGAGCATTGGTTTCAACCACGGGTTGCAACCTCCTGGGGGTCACATATCAGACAACTTCAATATCTGATATTTACAATTCATAACAGTAGCAAAGTTTCAGTTATGAAGTAACAATGACATAATTTTATGGTTGGGGTGTCACCTCAGTGTGAGAAACTGCATTAAATGGGTGCAGTATTAGGAGGGTTGAGAACCAGTGTTTAACAGAAATCTTTACCAGAGTTTTACAAGGAATATATCACTGGCTACAAATGAACCAGACAACAAACAATATTGCTTACAAACTAGTATCCATAATTGTCACTTTTAACATGCATGGTAGATTTTAGAAAATTGCTTTCTACTTTTGTATTTGATACTTTCAGCAAATGATGCACAGGCATTATCTGTGTCAGGGGCATGGAAGTGTATGTAACTTAAGGTTGCAGCTATGCATTGGCTATATATTGTTCTCTTAAATGCAGGCTAGGCTAGGCTAACACTCTTAACTTCTAGGTGTATTATTAACTCTGGTTGTGAGACACAACAAACATTCCATTCTCTTCGAACATTCCATTCTCTTCGAATGTAAGAGATATTTTCAGAATATTATATCACCACAGAATATAAGAGGTGGCTGTCTTCCATTCAGTCAACAACCCAGACTCTGTGTTTGACTGTTTGTAATAGATAGCAGCTCCCATCCTGAGACATCTCATTGCACTATATAAGCTCAGTTAAGACAGAAAGGGCTCGTGGAAAATGGACACCTTTGTTGTGTGGGTGGGGTCTTAAAAAAAAGAGTATCTCCAAGAACTCTGGAAAATGTCTTTGCTTTTAAATAAAACTAGAAAATATTAATGAGCATTATAAAGAGTTTGTATGCTATATATGATTAAGAGTAGAAGGTGATGGGGACATAATAGAGCAGAGGATGTGAGCTATTGTTATCCCACAATGCTTGGCTACTGCAACTCAATAGATTTAATGAATTGAGAGACACAAGGACTAAGAAATAAAGGACTTTGTTAACATAAAATCAAAATGTTAGAAGATGACAGGCTATTACCTTTTAAATTTTTTTCCTTTTATCATTTTATTTTTTTAGGTGTGTGGGTATTTTGTCTACATCTGTGTCTGTGCACCATATGAATACCTTTTGCCCAGATAGGCCAGAAAATACCATCAGATCCCCTAGCAATATAGCTACAGACAGTTGCGAACTGCCATATGGGTCACGTTGTAAAGGAAAAAAATAAAAAAATAAAAAAAATGAAGCAGAGAGGCAGACAGAATCAATCTCAACAGGCCGATGTTGCTTTATTGGGACAGGAAGGCCTCAGATTTTGGGGGGAAGAAGGTTGACTGCATTTAGAGAGACAGGGTGACAGGTGTATATAAATACAAGTATAAACATGGGTAGTTCCCAGGACATTACAGCCACTTTGTGTGTAATTTAACTGGGATCGAGGTGGGTTGTTTTTTGATTCCCAGATGGAGCAGAAGGCCCAGGCTAGGGCCAAACAACTCTTTGGCTGGTAAAGCCTGACTCAGTCCCTCATAACCTGAGACAATTACCCAATACTGGGAACCAAACCCGATGCTCTTAACCACTCAGACATCTCTCCAACCCTGGCCCAAGCTCTAGCCTTTCTATAAGGTTTTTTTTTTTTTTTTTTTTTTGACCGTTGTCCTAAAATTCAATCTTTTAGGTAATCAAAGGAAAGTCTGAGGGTACCAGACAGGTGGGTACTCATTTGTATCTTCATAATTGTGGGCTATGTGACTCTTGTTTCATCAGAAAACATTGCAGTCCACTAAATGTAAATATTTAAAGGGTCCATGCTCTGTATTAATTGAATCAACTGTATCTACATTTCACTGTTCTCAGTGTGTCTGGCTCCCTCACAGGTATGATTTTCTCCAATCTGGGCTGGAAATGCTTGGAATGGGGGATTTTGCACAGCTGAGCACACCTGTGAGTAAATTTTTTCTTATTAAATCCTTTGAGTTGGGAAGATCCATTTCTGCACTGTATCTTTGAGACAGGAAGATACACCATTAGTCCAGATCTTTTGAGATGAGAAGATTCACTTTTAACCAGGGCTGCACCTTCCACTGACAGCCGATGTAAAGGACATGGAAGAAGGAAGCTTGCTAAGGTAAAAACACCTTGCCACAGAGCTTGGGTCTTTTAATTGGGGGAAAGTGAATGAGAAAGGGAGGAAGGCAAGAGAAGACTGGCCTCTGGGAACAGGAGTGGTGGAAGAGAAAAGAAAGGCGGGGGGGGGGCAGAGAGGCAGAGAAAAGGGGGGAATATGGGAGGTGGACGGGGCCCTTTTAAAAGGGAAAGTAGTGAATGTGCACAGGTGGTGCTCTTAGTGTCTTCAGCTGAGGGCGTATCCTATCAGAACCCAAAGGACAGGCAAATACAAATGCCTGAATACTAACAGCTAGGCTATTCATTCCTTCACTGTCATTGGAGTCAGTCATGGACTGAACAACTCTTTTACTTTTCATTGGTAGTAGACAACCATTGTTGGTCTAACTGGACCACAGCCTGTAAGCTTTTTCATATGGAATAAGGATTTATTTATTAGAATGGCTTGCACATATATGTAATCTATAAGTTCTGTTTCTCTAGAAAACCCTGAGTAAAGACATTTCTACCTGGTTATAGTGTCAGTTGATCTATAGAAGACAAAATTCAGTGATCAGCCAGTACTTAAAGAATAGAATGGGCAATAAGGAGGATATACTTCTTGGAATTGCTTATCAGTATGGAGTAGTGATGGTGCTTTTGGACTCAACAGTTCTCATCTGTCTACAAAAGGAACAGATCTAATTTCAAAGGAATAAAGAGATGGTTTATTCTAGCTCCAGAAATTGGCTTTTTATTGATCTTGGAATTCATCAAACTGAGGTACTTTCATGTGTTGAGGACATGAAGGAAATGGAGTTTTAAAAGCAGTCTATTGCTAACCCCAGGGGAAGTCTCCTGATCCTTTTCTACTCTAGGAAAGCACGGAAGTGAGAATACCTTATGTGACAGAAACAGGATTACCTCTATACTGAACAAACTTAAAACCAGAAACACTACTCTAACATCCGCATACCTTTCTGAGTAATAACTGTCCAGAAAGACCAGTTTGTCTTATAGGAGACCCTGGCCCTGTGGTACACCTGGGGAAAGGAAACTCCAGACTGAGAAGCAGAAAAGA